ACCCTCATATTAAAATAGTTTATAAAGGTGCTGCTAACAAAGAGAGTATGATGCTTTCTCTTTTTTCTCTGCCATTCACTGGCTATGTCTCCCTCTCTTTACCTGCTATATTTTGGGTTTGTGTGTATGTCAGGTAAGTTGCTTGAACTGTGTTCTGCTGTTATGCATTATGTGCTACAGGCTGTATGGGGCTGGCATAAGGTAACTCATTTATGGAGTCATGTCTATTGTTGAAAACTATTATTTCTAGAATTGTAAAATTTGAAAGGCATCACATTGGGTAACAAGCACATTATGAAAATATTAGGAACTTCCCTGGATTCGGGATCTCAGTGGCAAGACTTGCAAAATAATAACATTATTCAACATCTACTTTAAAATACAAGAAAATAAATGTATAATAATGTAATAATAATGATGGGTTACATGAAGTGAATATAAACACAATGTGGTGCTAATTATGTAAGAATTTATTGTAGTTTATAAGTGTATTAAAATAGTATACATAATGATTTATAATTTATATTCTACAGTGTGTAACCATGAAAACAAGTCAGTTAAAACAAAAGTATCACAGAAGAAAAGTAATTTACAAGTGTTGCCAAACTGATGGGTAGTTTATTTGCTTTGGACCAGTTGCTGTACAGCTAAGGGTGCTTCTTGTCACCTATAACTAACAGGTAAACACATTTTGAATACTTCAAGGAATGGTAAAGAAAACTTTTTACATTCTTATTCACAGTACTCAACATATCTGGACCCCACAGTTCAAGTCTTAACAGCCCTTTCATTTCCTCTGTATGAGGCTCTGTTCACACACGGATCCTTTTAAATCCAGTTTCTGACATGCTAATGAAAACACAATCACAAAGGAGGTTAAAAATTCAACATCTTTAATAAACAAATTGTTTTATATTTACAGTAAGGTTTTGCTTTATGGCTAATATTCGGTGACCCTCCTGAAGGAGCCAAGGACGGCGCAGGTGGCGCACCAGTCACGGTACCTCCTGTACTCCCCAGGCCTCAGGAAGTACTGTCTGCCTCGGTAGTTGGGATACTCATAGAAGATCCAGTAGCCATTCATAACATTACAGGAATAGACATGACGGTGATGGAAACGGTCAGACACACAGGGACAGTCATCCATGAACTCCATCATGTGGCCACTGAAGTCGGGCTTCTCATAGATGCATAGTCTGTAGGAGCCTCGATTCTGAGGGAGCAAAGGAAGAAGGGACAAGTCAGACAGTGTTAACACAGAAATATGTTTTATTGGTAGAATCCTGACTTTTTGAGAGGGGTTATGACATTATTGTTTTGCTCTTGTCTTCTTTGTCTTTGCAAATTGTTAGATATTTTTAGTCAGATAGAAATTGGATAGATACTTTATGTATTAGAAATGTTTAATGGAGAGAGGATGTCTAGTTAGACTGTTAAATGCTTAGTCATGTGTATGAGTTTCTACAGGGTACATCTGGTCAAGGATACTAGAGAGAAGAGTTGATGACTGTCAGCAGACAGGGTGTTTAATATTATTATGACGTGTATAACTGTAGCCTTAGCCATAATATGTTCTTATGTTTAAGTCACGACATGTACTAGAGGTCGTGAGAAAAGTTAAAAAAGTTATATTTATGTTATAATGTTACTGAGTTTGTCACTGTGTTTAATATTATATAGCTGAATAAAATAACTACAATTATAGTAACGTTGTTATTAATGAGATATACTTAAACAAACACCTGAGACACATTAAACATTTATTTCTGATGAGTAGAAAATGAATTTTGTGTGAAATTTGGATAATTTTCAACAAAAATATTGTGAAATCCTTCTGCAAACATTACAACCACAAACTAAATGTATATTAAGACATTATCTTACAGCCATTTATTTACTTATTGTTTTATTCTGTGGGATTGGAATGATTTTTCACATATATCCATATTATTTTGCCTGTGTCCTGTTTTACTAGGCTGATCCTGATTTTTTATATATATATATATATATATTTTTTTTTTTTTTTTTTGTGTAATTCGTGGTGGGGTCTGTTCAGAATCACTACATTTGTGCCACTCAGGTCACTCTGGGTGTCAGTATCCTGCCTCACTCTCTCCAGTCTGTGCTGTTACTCTCTGTACAACCAGCTATAGAAACCAGCTAATCCCATCAGGGCACAAACTGGGAGAGAGTGGCTCTGACATTGTTCCATGTGATATGCCTGCTACAAGCTAACCTGAAGCAACAATATGGTAGCCCTCAGCTGCACTTGAAGATTTTAGGTGTATCTCACAAAATGATAATAAAGCTTTGTATTCTAGTGACCCAAGGCTGGGAAGTGGCAGATATGCAGACAAACACCAATGTTTCATGAAGCAGTTAAATTTTATTGGGGAAACAACAATTCAACTTTGGGGACGAGCATGTAGATGAAGACTGATTCTGACTCCACCCCAGTCCCTGTAGCTCCCATACTCTCCAGACCTCAGCAGACCTCAGCAGACCCCTGCCTTTGTAGCCTGGTTGGTTGTACAGCAGCCAATGGACATCCATCACATTATAGGAACTGAAGTCAGGCGTGCTGAGACAGTGCTGGACGACTACTGTAGACAGGACCAGAAGTTTTAACTGATTATATCTGACTGGACATGTCAAAGTGTTTGTAAAGCACAGGATGGAAAACAACACTACATTTCATTTCCAGAAGGTTTTATTGGCTGTTTTTAAGTTTGTATCTGCTCTGAACTTTACTGCTTATAATTTAACTCTTATATTGACATCAAGTTTGTTAAAAAAGGACTACACTAGTCTGTTTTTACAGCACCTTCAAAGTCCTACCTGGGGATCATGCGACAAGATCTGACACAGTCGCTGATGCCAGTCATCTACTGGTTATCAGAGTACTCCCCTCCTCAGGTAGTACTGCTTGGAGGGTGTTGATACTGTGGTGAAATAATTGGAGGAGTTTGTTTTTATCCCTATTTTTTTTTTAACATTATCATCTATCAAAACTGGATGGACTTCCTTAAAATTCAACTATGCTGGAGAGTCACTTTTACTAAGCTTAAAATAATTTAATTTACAGTGTTAATTTAATCATTTCTGAAAAGAGAATGAATTAATAACAATTGACAAGTCTTTGATCTAGATGGAAGCAAAGTGAGGAAAGTGGGCAGAGCTACAGTGGTGTGAAAAAGTGTTTGCCCCCTTACTGATTTCTTATCTTTTTGCATGTTTGTCACACTGTAATGTTTCAGATCGTCAAACAAATTTATATATTAGTCAAAGATAACACAAGTAAACACATCATGCAGTTTTTAAATGAAGGTTTTTATTATTAAGGGAAAACAAAATCCAAAACTATAGAGCCCTGTGTGAACAAGTGTTTGCCCCCCTGTCAAAACACTGGTTTATCGCACCTGAGTTCAATTTCTCTTGCCACACCTGTTCGCAATCAAGAAATCACTTAAATAGGACCTGCCTGACAAAGTGAAGTAGACCAAAAGATCCTCAAAAGCTAGACATCATGCCGAGATCCAAAGAAATTCAAAAACAAATGAGAAAGAGAATAATGGAGCTCTATCAGTCCGGAAAAGGTTATAAAGCCATTTCTAAAGCTTTGGGACGGCAGCGAACCACAGTGAGAGCCATTATCCACAAATGGCGAAAACATGGAACAGTGGAGAACCTTCCCAGGAGTGGCCGGCCGACCAAAATTACCCCAAGAGCACAGCGACAACTCATCCAAGAGGTCACAAAAGACCCCACAACAACATCCAAAGAACTGCAGGCCTCACTTGCCTCAGTTAAGGTGAGTGTTCATGACTCCACCATAAGAAAGAGACTGGGCAAAAATGGTTTGCATGGCAGAGTTCCAAGACGAAAACCACTGCTGAGCAAAAAGAACATAAAGGCTCGTCTCAGTTTTGCCAGAAAACATCTTGATGATCCCCAAGACTTTTGGGATAATACTCTGTGGACAGACGAGACAAAAGTTGAACTTTTTGGAAGGTGTGTGTCCCATTATGTGTGGCGTAAAAGTAACACCGCATTTCAGAAAAAGAACATCATACCAACAGTAAAATATGGTGGTGGTAATGGGATGGTCTGGGGCTGTTTTGCTGCTTCAGGCCCTGGAAGACTTGCTGTGATAAATGGAACCATGAATTCTGCTGTGTACCAAAATATCCTGAAGGAGAATGTCCGGCCATCCGTTTGTGACCTCAAGCTGAAGCGAACTTGGGTTCTGCAGCAGGACAATGATCCAAAGCACACCAGCAAGTCCACTTCTGAATGGCTGAAGAAAAACAAAATGAAGACTTTGGAGTGGCCTAGTCAAAGTCCTGACCTGAATCCAATTGAGATGCTGTGGCATGACCTTAAAAAGGCAGTTCATGCCCGAAAACCCTCCAATGTGGCTGACTTACAACAATTCTGCAAAGATGAGTGGGCCAAAATTCCTCCACAGCGCTGTAAAAGACTCATGGCAAGTTATCGAAAACGCTTGATTGCAGTTGTTGCTGCTAAGGGTGGCCCAACCAGTTATTAGGTTTAGGGGGCAAACACTTATTCACACAGGGCTTTGTAGTTTTGGATTTTGTTTTCCCTTAATAATAAAAACCTTCATTTAAAAACTGCATGATGTGTTTACTTGTGTTATCTTTGACTAATATATAAATTTGTTTGACGATCTGAAACATTACAGTGTGACAAACATGCAAAAAGATAAGAAATCAGTAAGGGGGCAAACACTTTTTCACACCACTGTATATAAAAAAAAAAGAGGCCATAAATAATGTCACCTGAGTTTGACTCTCTCACATACACAGATTTGTAACAATGCTGTGAATGTCTCATCAAGCAGTAACAAAAAAATCTCCTAAATATAACATCTCATAAATGAAAACCTTTCCCATGGTTGTGTTGGATTGAGACTATATTAGTAGCCAGTGCTGTCCCTGAGCCAAGCCACTTTATAAAAAACTAAGAGAAAGGGCTGCTGGGTGATTGCATAGCATAAAGTATTGTCAGTCAAATGTAGCCCTCACAGTGACAGTGGATCAGGGCTGGAAAAATCTGTTTATGTATAGATGACTTATTGTTCTTTCCTCCATGTTCATCACAGTGTGCTCCCGAAAAGCCTCTGTACAATAAACTGAGCATCAGCATGATTAAACTGATATTTAATAAGATAGACATCAAATGAAGAAAATGTTTTTTTAAGCTCTGGAACAGACATGGTCTAACATATAGTTACAACTTTTACAGAAATCTCTCACTCATCTTATATCAGATATAATCTCACAAAGCCCTAAAGGTTACAGTGAGATCCTCTTCACAACTGAATGGACTATGAAGACTCCCTTTTGCAGTTGCTTTATTAGTGCGGTGAGTGTTTGATGTAGAACAGGCCCCCCAAAATGAGTTTTTGTTTTTTGTGCTGTGGGGGTATGCTGAGTGCTTTGCAGTGAATCCATACTAATATCAGTCATGTTTGGATTAATTATTCAGGACACTAAGAGTTTGTTTTAATTATTGGATTAAAATGATTTCAAGGTAAGAAACACTTATCCAAAGTCAAACTTAGAAGAAAAATGTGGATATGGGGTTCAACCATAGTCCACTTTCAGAGCCCAAACAAAACAGTGGGTCTGTGCTGATATGTGCACAATAAACAATAAAACAAAAGAAGACTTTTTGTAGATTTGGGAGTGCAGACCTGTTGTCTTCTTTGATCCTGGAGCTGTTGTCGCTGCAGTCAGTGAAGCTCCTGTACTGACCTGGCCTCAGGTAGTAGTGACTCCCCCTGTAGTGGGGCTGCTACTACAGCAGCCAGTGGCCATATACAGTATAATACTATGGAAGTTGGTGTTGCCACGTGTTCAGGGAGGCCTGGTGTCAGCAGAGACTCTACAGGGGTCTTCCCTACCTGTTGGTCATGTACTCTGTTATGTCACGGCTACCAGATAATGAACGGCTTCCAGCAAGAGCCACAGTGCAGACAGGCACTGGAACAGTTCTGTTGTCTATATTGTGTAAACATGGGCAAAGAGACAGTGGTCTCTATGTCTTTGTTCTGTACTGCAACCAGACCTGTCTGAATTAACCAGAATGTGAATCTCATTCTCAAAAAAATTGTAATAATTACAAATGCTAAACTCTGAGATAAGTGTGCAGCTTGTATCAGTTAGTTGTATTAATACTGCTTATTTTGGGACACCAACATACTGTAAGATCCAAATATTTATTTTGCCCAAATGGATCTTTGTGAGCCAGTAAGTAAATTAAGTCAATACCAAAATATTTATTGGCAAGCACATGGAAAATAGTTGACAGTAGATCTGTTTATTTAGTTATTTAAAACAATACCATATTGATATGATATGGGTCAGTTTCTTCACCATCTCACTCCACATGATTTTAACATTACGAGTTTCCACCAATACACGTGGCTCTCGAGGCAGCTTTCAATGAAACTGAAATGTAAATAAAATCAAGTGAGACTCTACATTAAAACTCTGTGATTCTGCGGAAGGACCCGGTGGAGGCACAGGTGGCCCCCCAGTCACTGAACTTGCGGTACTCTCCAGGCCTCATGAAGTACTGCCGGCCACGGTAATTGGGGTGCTCGTACAGGGTCCAGTAGCCGTCCATGACGTTGCAGGAGGAGATGTCACGGCTGTGAAAATGTTCCTGCACTGACTCACAGTCCTCGCTGAACTCCATCATCTGACCCTGGAAGTTGGTCCTCTCGTAGATGCGCATGCGGTAGGGGCCCTCGCTGGCCTGGAGAAACACCATGAAGTAAAATACAAAATTAGGACAACCTCTAATGCACCTGTGGGTGTGTGGTGTTGCTTCAGGGTGTCCTGAATATATGAATGAATAATCTTTATTTTATTTTTATTTTTTTGAACATCAACATCAAAGTGTTTGTCATATGCACAGTAAGGAAACATGTTTCCCTGAAGCAATGAAATTCTTCTTTCTTTGCATTAAATTAACATTGACATCTAAAATTGAAGGCATGTACAAAACCTAATGAATCATATTTTGAGGTTTTCAAAGGACCTTATGGTTCTTCAATAAAAGATATGTAGACCAATAAGTTATCTTCATTTAAATCCATTTAGTTTATCTTATACTGTTTTTGAGACAACATATACAGATATTTACTGAGAGAGCAAATCACACATTTAGGCACTTATAAACAAATAAAGTAAAACACATAGTTGCTTTTCATACAGCAGTCATCCCTAAGAGAACACAAGAAAATACATGTGATCTTAACAAAATTAAATGGTATTTTATTAAAACTTTACACATTGAAAACATGCTGAATCATCTTTATTGGTTCTCTAAATCTACACACTTCACAAAACTAACACATGCCCCAGAATATTTACTCACATAAGAGAAAGTACGGCAGGAGCGGATGGTGTCGTTGTAGCCCATCCAGCGCTGGTAGTCTGGGTACTCCCCGCGGGTCAGGACATACTGGTAGCCCATATAGTTGGGCTTCTCATACAGCACCCAGCAGCCACTCTCCACCTTGATGGAATTGCAGCGGCTGAAGTGGGGGTGCATATCAGGGCAGTCGGTGTCACACTCATAGGAGCGACCCTGGAAGTTCCTGTCCTCATAAAATATGATCTGGGTCCAGGAGAGAAGATTTAGAGGGATCAACAGTCAAAGCTCCATTTGCGCACAAGTTCATCAAGAACTGACAAATGTCTTACATTTATATTATAAAACATGCACAATCTACTTTTTTATGGTCGTGCAAATACAAAGAAATATTCTGAGTATATAGTAGGTGTTGAGTATAACATACCTGGTTACACTATTTTTTATTGAGTTTTCAGTTTTATGGCAAACTTAGTGCAGTCTGGCTGTTGGCAGCTTCATGCCCAGAACATTATCATAAAGTAAATAGCTTCATAGGGTTCACATTAACCAGTGTAATCTGCACTGCACTAGTAAAAATCCTAGATTTTACCCACATTTTAGCAGGTGTATGAAGACTGTTATAGCCAAAAAACACAATAACAGTATCTTACCTTACTGCTCATCCTGCAACGAGTGCTGGAGCCAGTCACCTATGAAAACTGGTGGTCTTCCAAAGCAGAACCACTGCCCAGATATATAAACCTCAATCAAAAGATTAGCAGATCCCACTTTAGCTGTTTTTCAATGAGTGGGGATTTAACGTGCTGGCATTGCTGCCAAAAGTCCTGATCCTGGGCATAGAGCAAAAATCCCTGAATCATCAAAGCAAAAGTCCTACCAGGCAAATTACTGACCCACTGTTCCCTTCTTTATTGATATGGACAGCCGCTAATCCTCCATTCAGTGGATCAAAGTTTCCACAGAATGTCGGACGTCATCACAAAACAGCATTTGTTGAACCTGAACAAGCGCTATTAGAAAATCCCACAAAACATAATAGAAAATGTGAAATTCTATGTATTAATAGGAAAAAAATCCAGCGGATACCATTAAAAGGTGCCATTAATCTATCTGTACAACAGGTGATGCAACTAAATAACCACCTCTAAAAATGAAGTCACTGTGACAGTGTAAAGAACAGAAACAGCAACACAGCAGAAATGGGAAAGTGTCACACTCAAACATAAGAGGACAGAGACAAAGTGCTGGGGGGTGACTTCAGTCCTGCAGAGATTCCTGGGAGCCCTCATAGTGCTCAGCTCCTTCCTCATGACCACGACTGCTATCCTGAGGGCGACGCAGAGGAGATGAGTCTGTTCAGATTCACATGTTGGCAGCACAGGCCTTACAAGCAGGTTTTAATACAAGAAGCTCCCTTTTCTTTGCAAGCATTCATATACAAAAGGCTTGTTCATTTTTCCATCACTAGGATACTGTGGACACTCACACTGAGGAAGGAGTGAGATGAGGAGGAAGACGATGAAGACTGCACTGAAACTGGTCCAGGCTGAGCACTCGCCTTCGCCCTCTCAGACAGCCACCGTTTCAACTTCTCATCTACAAGAGTTTTTAAGGATTATAAGATAACTGACACATCTGTTAGACTAGTAGTTCTCCCTGAGGGGAAGGCAGCTGCGGAAAGTAACTCAGCAGATTCACTGAGGTACTGTACAAACTCTAAAGTACTTGTACTTTACTTAAGTTTTTATTTATGCATGTTTTACTCCACTACATTTCATGAAGTGAGAAACTATATTTTCTACTCAGATACTTTTATCAAAGAGTTTACAGATTAGGCTTTCACATAAAAAAAATCTAATGAGTTTATAAAATATGGTGTACTGATACATGCTATAATAACTACCCAGTAATTTAAAGAGTACTGTAGGTACATTTAACCCCATTTCAGTCAGCTACAGCAGTAAAATGTTACTTATCCAACAATCAAATCAAAGCATGTTTAATAATACAACATGGTGGCACAGCAGCACGGTGGTTAGCGCTGTCGCCTCACAGCAAAAAGGTTCCGGGTTTGAGCCCCAACCAACCCGGTCCCTTCCTGTGTGGAGTCTGCATGTTCTCCCTGTGCCTGTGTGGGTTCTCTCTGGGTACTCCGACTTCCTCCCACAGTCCAAAGACATGCAGCTTAGCTTGACTGGTGACTCTAAACTGCCCCTAGGAGTTTGTTTGTCTATATTTCAGCCTTGTGACAGACTGACAATGTGTCCAGGGTGGGCCCCACCTCTTGCCCAGTGTCAGTTCCAGCCCCCTCTGACCCTATTCAGGAATATGTGGTGTAAATAATGGATGGATAATATAACACTCACGTGGGACATTTTTCTGCAGAGCAAGCACTTTAACAATTGCTAATACTTCTATACTTTCCATTATCCATCCATCCATTATCAGATGGGGACCCACAGTATTAGATACTGTCACTCCAGATAACTATATTTAAAACTCACACACACACTTACTATGCTTCTTGGAGTGGTGCACAGCCTTGTAAGAGCCGAGCATGGCGAGTGGATGGTAGGACAGAGTGAAGGGGTAGACAATTGTACCCTAGGAGGAACAAAAACCATATAATGAAGAAACAAAAGCAGCAGACACTTTCTTGACTGTGCAGAAAATATATAGATAAATACTGCATGTGCTTCTTCTCAACATGACCCTGGACACTGGTCATACCTTGGACTGCTGGCGGGGGTATGAAGCAACTGGTTTACACCTGTAAAGAGCCAGGATTTCCTCCACTGGCAGGCTGTTCTGAAGTAGGGGATGTGCAAAGGTTAAAAACTAGCAGTTTAACCGTTAAATACTTGTGTCAAGGTCACCTCAGGAAGGTTCTGGAGATTCGCAGCGATGTGAATGTTTGGATCTAAGTCAGGTAGTGATAGAGGACATGGAGGTTATTGTTTGTTATTGTGTGTATTGAATTTTTCAAGCTACATACTAAAGAAAACCAGAGTAAATTACAGTAAGTGCATGACCAAAGCATGGGAATCTGAGACAAGTTGCATGTGTCACAATTTCGATCTACAATCAGATATACAGGATTTTGGCTAATATGGCTTTGGGTAAATGGACATAGTGAACTTTAAATTGCATGAAGCTGGGGCTACTACAGGAAGAGGAGTCAGGGACTTGTTCAAGGATTACCTTCCCAGTCTTGTTCAAATCTTGTTCTCATTGTATTTTAATACGTCCATAGATTAGGGGTTGAACTCGCCAGTTATTTTTATTTATTTATTTATTTATAACCTTATAATGTCCCATTGAGGTCAAGATCTCTTTTTCAAAGGAGAGCTGGCCAAGATGGCAGCCATACAAAGTCAAGTGATCATACC